TTAAATAGACTTCATCTGATAACTTTGGCGGTTTGGATCCACGGAGAGAATAAGCGCATGAAATGAGAGCATTTGGGAGACGTGTCGTATCCGAAATATCTTTCACCTTTGTAGCAGCAACGGCGTAGTTGATCAGCGCAGCCTTGTACCGTTCACCAGACTGAGAGTCGCTTGACCCGGCAGAGACAAACAGACCCCCAAAGACCGCATCATGGTAGGCGCCGCCAAGCGCCAGGCATGTGCAGAGGCGCGTCGGCAGGTCTATTGTAGCCATTCTACCTAGTGAGAGTGCGTCGTCAATTTCCGAGCGTTTGGGGATTGCTGGTGCAACTTTCAGAAGGATTGGCATAAGCCTCAGTGCGACATTTCGGACGGCGTCAAGCTTCTCGCCAAGATGCCTCAGAAGAGCACAGCAAAATTGTTCCGACTCGACTGCAGTCCATCTAGCTCTAGAGTCGAAGCCCATGAAGGGGGTTTCTGCAACTAAAAAGGACAAGCTATCCGAACTCGAGAGCCACGCTGTGCGCTCGCCAAGAGCTGGAATGGTGCTTCCTATTGAGTCTGCATCATCCGAAAATACCGTCAGAACTGACACCAATTCAGTGGCTGCCTCTAGGCCCTTGATCCTGGACCAAGAACCCACGTCTCCGCGCTTATCTACACTGAAATCACTACATGCGTTGGTAACGAAGCAGTTGTGGAGCTGCAGAACTCGAATTCGGGTCAGGTAAGGCGCCCCTACGGTTCGAATTAGGTCTTTCAAGGCTGCAAGAGCATCGCGTCTCGTTTCTGCGTCCTTTTCACCGGCGACTGTGTCATCACGTCGTGCTCGAAAAATCAGAATTTGTAGAACCGCATCGAGTGTTGCGTCATCCGCAGCAAGCAAACGCACAGGTAAAGCCCCGAGACAGCGACAAGCACCACGCGATACATCCGGAGTTGTTGGCTTGCGCGCTAGGCCCGTATATCGAAGGACAGTACGCGCCAAGAGTCGTTCACTAGGTTTCGTCATTGTCTTTGCGAAGTTGTGAAAACCACCAAAATAAGTCCATGTCAAAGCCTTCACGCCTTTCATCGCCGCAAGTCGCACCGCCTCGACAGCATGACTACTGCATTCATCCAAGGTATCAAGGAGACGCAGCTGGACCTTGATCGGGAGAGGAGTGCGGTTCAAAGCAAGGGATTCGATCAACGCACAGGCGGCAGAGCGCACGAGTTCGCCGCCGCGACCACGGTAGAGACGCGCAGCTTCGATCCTAGGAACAATATCGGAAAGTTCGGACACGACGGCTTCGTCCTTGAGGACGAAGGCGGCAACCTCCGCGAGTGCGAGGAGAGCGCCGTGCCGAGCAGCGAGTTCTCGACTCCCGGCCGCAAGCGGGGCAAGCGTGGTGACGACTGTACGTGCAGCGTCCAGTCGACTTGGTGGATGCTCTAGAAGTCTGACGAGCTCACCTAAACTCCTTGCTGTCAGAGCCCGCACTTGAGGATCCCAGTGTCGATATCGGTCTTCAAGAAGATGGTCAAAGAGCGGCTGCCAAAACCCGAGCTTTGCCACCGACGAGGCGACATCCAAATAGGCTCGTTCTCTGTTGCCTAGCGCCAAAAAGTCTGCCACTTGTATTAATTTGATTCCCCCAGAGCCATACATTTTCATGCCTTGTCTTCCAACATTTTCCTGGAGGGCTGCGCCGGCAGCTCGCCGCACGTGGACCTCGCGATCGTACACGGCAACGGTAAGAATCCTATCAACAAGCGCCGGTAGATGGGGTGAAATGATCTGAGGTGCATAGGCACGCGCGAATGCCCAGGCTACATAGCACGCCGCATCCCTGACGTTGGCCCCGATGCTGTGGTTCCCCCGTTGCCGGTCATACTTGAGTGCCGCTGATAGCGCAGAGAATGCGGCAGAGAGCCTGGATGGGAGCAAGACACCAAGCCGCGAAAGTTCTGCGAGGGCGAGACAAGATCCGTGCCAGGCATTGTCGTCATCATGTGAACCCTGGTCGTCGAACACAGAAAGTACGCCCTCAACCACATCATCTGCGATACTGCGTGGGAGCCTGGACGCAATCCGCCCTATACCCTTAGCTGCAGACCATCTCGTCTTCGTCTCACACTCACGCAGTCCCACGAGCAAAGCGTCGACGACGGCTTCAAGCACCTCCTCGGCATCTTCTGCTTCAACCTCGACGTTCGATTCCCCACCCTCCGCAACGCCTGAAGGCAATATGGAAGGTGGTGGCACATCGGACATCATGAGCGTCCTTTTCCCTCTAGTATAGCACCACGAGGCAATTCTTGGTTTCAACAGAGCCACTCCGACACGCCCAGCGAGTTTCACCGCGAGTTGCTTCAAAGGTCGAAATGCAGAATTCGAATCACCAAAGCAAAGTCGGACTCCTTCGAATGTAATTCGAGCAAGAGCTGCAAGACGGACCCTGTCCCCCCGCTTGAACGCAGCTGCAAGGGCTGTCAATGCGCCTGCTGCTGCAAAGATAGGCTTACTATCTGGCTTGCCCAGCTCAAATACCAGATTTGTAGCCAGGTCCACGAATGACTTGAGATGCGATGCGCACACGTCACGTCGAGTCAGGGTCACTGATAGACAAAAGGCTGCTGCGTCCCGTGGCGGTCCTGCATCATTCAAGGTCTCGCTGCAATGCAAAACCACGCCTGCCACGAATGACACGCCGTCCTCCGTGATCGAGTCTACGTTAAAGGGGTTCAACATCAGCATCCCTAGCCAGAGCAGTAGGGTGTACCGTGTGCGCCAGAGTGAATCATGTAGGTGATCATCCAGGCTGGTAAGCGTTACGTACACCGCTTCGAGATCCCGAACTGCATGTGGCAGTGCTTTTGCCACGTGCTTCAGTCCTCGAGCACAGCACAATTCATAAACTGCTTCGCAAATGGTGTCTAACAAACAGTCATTGAAAACTTGCCTTGGAGCTGAAATTGAATCACGTGATAGTCGCCTACTCAACTCAGTTGTCATAATCAAATGGATTGTTCAACGCAGGCAAAAAACTTTGATGCTGACGACATGAGTTTCTCTACTGCTTCCGCAATTTCGCTTTGCGGGGGGTGAAAGGAACAATAGAGTTTAATAGCGGTCGCGCTTTGCTCTCTCACAGATTCGGGCATCAAGCGCCCGTCGCTCGCTTGTTGCACCGCAACGCCATCACATATGTCGTCAATCGTCCTCCAGAATGCTGACTCAATCGCGGTGGACTCTATGCAACGAGACTGAGTGGTCACCATGGTACCCGCTAACGATTATTTTGTAGATTCTTGTGTGAAATTGCATGCGTAGCCATAATCAGCGCCTCCAACTTCGGCGCCTCCAACTCCAGGTCCTGAAAAGGTTCCTCTGCTGCCGTCCGGCTCTTTCAGACTCCTTGATCTCCTTGACAGGTGCGGCACGCCGGGCGCTTGGGAGTCCGTCCACTAAAATTGAGTCGCGATTTTGAAGCACCTCCTGCGCACGTTATGGGCTGCGACCGGGGCCCCGGGGGCGGGCCTGGAGATCTTCTTAGTACGGACTAATCGCGCGGTGAGGCTCAGCGTCCGCGAAAACTTGCGCGCGTCGTCTTAGTCCGTACTAAGAAGGCGACTTCACGTTAGGGGGGGACGAAAATCGGCCGATTGCAGATCGTCGAATTTGGCGGCGCCGCCCAGTGCGATGGATAGAGGGCATCTAACTGATAATCAAAGAGACTGGGTTCGTGGAAATCGATCCGGATTTCGTAAAGTTATGGCTTCGCGAAGCCTCGGTTTTTTTCCTATGGGGCTGGACGAATCCCATTTCGTTCAAGGCTGGAAAATGTTGAAAATCGTGGTGCGTCTTTGGCAGGAGAAATCAGTCTCATTCCCGTACTTTGAAGGTCCGTTACTTCCCTGGGAAGGCTACCTGTATGGCATAGAACTCATTACTTTGTACCTTGAGGGAGGATCTTACTTGCCTCCTTTAGCTCAGGCTAGTGGGAGATACGAAAGGCCAAGTGGACGGAAACCAACAGATGTCAAAGTCTGGAAGCAGCCGGAATCTTTCCTTAACATCGATATCACATATGGAGATGGGTCTATCAAACTTTCGCAACCAGGGTTTATCGACAAACTTCTCCAGATAGCAGAAATGCAAGACGCAAACCCAAGAATAAGCATCCCATAAATGGAATTCACAGTCGAGTCTGAGATGAAAATTAAAAAAGAAACTGTAAAAAGGAGGAGGATCTCTCTGTAGCTGCGCTTCCGGTGGGAGCGATTTTGTCCGATATGGATCGCATACGCCTTTTTGCTACTTGCGTCGAGTATGGTAAAAGGTCGTGAACTTCGCGGCCTGTACGGAACTAAAAGACTTGTAATCGCCGCATGTGATTATCCTCCTCCTCAATCTAGCTGTAATCTTCACTAGCCCGAGAATTTGAGGGATACAAAGCGCAGCCGGGTGGAAAACCGGAGTGTAATTTTAAAGCCCTTAGCCCAGTGTTTCACAGGGTCCATCCGGGTTGGATTACCATCCAGAGGAGGCTTAGCGCCTGGTGGAGTGATGCAGCTTGCGAAAGTACGCGAAGGGGTCTGCCGGAGCGATTATGTCCCGTGGAGGCCACGGCTCCGGGGGAGCCCAGTCCGTGCGCCGATTTGGTACGGCGCCTGGGTTTCCTGGGCTAAGTCTGAGGCTGATGTCACCCTATTATCTGCAGTAGCCATAGGTGGTACCCGAGGCCTATTTTCCCTTCTCAGAGGGGATTCTTTCGACAGCTAGGTCGTTCTAGCACTCAATAGACCCGGGGGCACTTGAGTCGGCGCCAAGATGCATCAAAGCCAATCTGAAACAGCGTT